AAAATAAATTAAACAAAAATAAGGCATAAGACATTCTGAAGTAAGGAAGGTCTAGAGCTGGCCAATTTAGCAATTCCGTGACCCATCAAGAACCTGGAGTCCTGCCACCTTCTTGCTCAGCCATCCTCAGCATATCATGGATGGTCCCTCATGGTTTCAAGATGCTTACAGCAATCTGAGTGCCACATCATCATGCTCCAATACCCAATAGAAGAAGAAAAAAAAAAAAATCTCTCCTTCCCACTTTTCTCCCTTTCTCTCTTTTGGTGAGTCTTTTTAAAAACTCAAAACCTCTTCCAGAAGCACCTCCAGCAAACTGCCCTCCTGTCTCATTAGCCATAATTGGGTCATGGCCTTTTCAAGACTAATCTTGACAGAGGGAAGGGAATCTCCATGATTGGTTTGGGCTAATCAAGATAGACCACCTGGGGCACCTCGGTGGCTCAGATGGTTAAGCGTCCAACTCGTGATTTGGGCCCAGGTCATGACCCCACATCATGAGCATGGGGCTTCACACTGGTTTGGAGCCTGCTTAAGGTTCTCTCCCTCCCTTCCTCTGCCAGTCCCCCACTCATACTGTCTCTCAAAAAAGGAAAAAGATAAGATCACTTGTGGCTGGAACCAGCTGGAACCAAGCTGGAGCTTGGGTTCACTTTCCTGAAGCACATGGCGAGGAAGTATATGGTGGATACCTAAACCAACTGGGGAGCTGTTGGCAAGACTGAAGGTGGTATATAGGTTGGTCAGACCCCCAAGAGTATCTGCAACACAACCACAAAAATTAGCTGGCTAGACCATGGCATTTCCGATTATTAGGAAGTTGTTTTTCAGGAGGGAACATTTTGAACCTGTATAGATGTGCAATTTATATCGTCCTAGCTCCACACACCTGCATCATGAAAAATGTCGGCAACTGTTTTGTGTAGAATATTTTAAAAGTGTGGCCAACCTCCAATCTGTAGGCGTTGTGGAGGCAGGAATCTCACTTCACCTCATGGTCAGTCGTTGTGGGAGGTCAGAAATTAGGTAGATGCTGCTACAGCAAAATAGGAGTTGTCTGCAAACATTTATCCCAGATAACCCACACCAGGGCTATTTTTCATTAATTGAGTCAGAAGTTTTGTCTGGAACCACAAGTGGAATGGGGGTGTTTTTGTAGAGTAAACTGTCTTTGTTTAAGCTAAATAATAGAATCCCTTACTGATCAATGATTAATTGTAATTCTAAAACAATTTTTTATGGTGGGTGGCGGTCATTGAATTGGTTCTCAAAGGAAAATTTATTGCTAAATAATTTAGGGATTACGACTGAAAGGCTTGTTTGGTGATAGTCGCCCAAGTAAGTCCTGGTTATTTCTCTTGTGAATCAGCTGAAGGCAGCAGGAAAATGTCACCATTGGGGGCACTACCTCCTGCCTGGCAACATGATGAATTGCAGACTCACTAAGGCCTTTCATGCATTGTTATCCAGAGTTTGTTCAGATTTATTGTTGGAAATGAGGGCTGAAATCAAGGAAGGAGACAGAGGAACTGATATTCCTTGAACTCTGCCAAGGGTTTTACCTGTTTTCTCCTTAATTTACTCCTCACAACAGTCTACAAATCAGTGCCACATGTTACAAATGTAATACCTAAGGGCTAGAAAGGTTAAGTGACTTGTGAAATTTACACTCTTAGTAAGTAATGGAGACAGCCATTCTGACTCCAATATCCCCAGAAGCCCCTAAATCATAATGCGGTGACTAAATGGGTCTGCTGTATGTCCACATTAATTTTTTAAAACACAGAATATTCAAACACAAGACAGTTATCTGTTGCTGAATAGTATTTTATTAGCTTAATAATTTGGGCCTGCCCTTAGCATTAATAAGCTTCAGCACTAATCACAAGATTTTCATTCATTGGTGGGGACATTTTCTTGTTTTAAAAAATGCAGTCAGAGAAAGGGCATCTACTTCTTGGGGGCTGCGGTAACAGCAGGCTTCTCTTCACGGGTGATGGGAATGGTACGCTCAGGGCCAGAGGCCTGCTTCCTTGGTCCATTCACAGTGAGGACCCCATCAGATGACAGGGATGAAGTAATGGCGAGAGGGTCCACATCAGCTGGGATCCGGTATTTCCTGTGGAACTCCCGGGAGATGAAACCATGTTCATCCTAATCCAAGAGAGGAAATGAGGAAATGAGGAAAAAGAGAGGTAAGAACAGGAAGTAGCACCAATTGCTGAGAACTCAGACATCCTTCTTCCCCTTAGGTGTGACCATACGCCTTTGCAACAAGACAGGAAAACTTAACAGCTGTTCTGGTTGGGGCTGAGATAAAGTTGCCTAGGTGGTCACTCCTACCAAGGAGAGTCTGAGAAGTCAAAGAGCAAAACCTTGAAGGCTCTCCAGATTGAGGCATGGATATTTTTATGGGTATTTCCCAAAGGTTTAGATCAATGTTTGTTGGGCCTACAGGATCTAGAATATTGTCCATCATTGAAGATCTGAGTCCCTAAGGAAGCCCAAAAATTGTCCTGACTCTTCAGGAATGTCCCAGAATGTTCCAGACCAATAGGACTGCTGCCAAAAACAACAACAAGAGCAACAAAACTTCACCCAGGGAGACTATGACCCAAAGTTAAATCCCATAAGCAAAACTGAAACAGCCTGAGGACCTCAAACCTTACTGTCTGATGCACAAGTATCAGAGTTATCAACAATTGGTCAGCAGCTGCCACATTTAAAAACCCTCCCAGAAATTAATGAGAATCTGTTCCATATTCTAGGATTCTGCTAAACACTAGCTGATTCTAATCTTTATACCAGCATGTAGGCAGACAGGCTCTCAATTAAGTGGTTTCCACATGGGCTGCAGGGTTTTAGCTGCTGAGTGTAGCTCTGAAACTTAGGCAAAGCCAGTTGTTGAGCATTTAGATGGGCTAAAGATGAGAGGATTCAGGAGCATATGAAAACAACATCCCAAAGTCAAGGGTCTTCAGGGTACCTGCAATTCATATAGTGACGTAAAGCAACCACATGTCCAACAAATGCTATTCCTAAATCAGTGGTCCTCAACTTTGAATGTACGTTAGAATTACCTAGGGAGCTTCCCCCCACCTTGCCCCTTTAAAAAATGTTGATGCCTGGTGCCCACCCCTAAAAATTTTGGTCTGTAATATGCCTAAGCACTGGAACTTTTTCATTCCCCTAGTGATTCTAAGGTGGCCAAAAACTATGGGCTTAAATGGGAAGTAAACATCCCATCTATCCCACCTAAGGCAATCAAATCAGAATGAACAACAAAGATCACTTCTCTGGCCCAAACAACAACAGCAGGTCTGTCCCTGTCCCAGACCTTTCTGGCTTAAGACTGGAGGTTGCCCGACTCAGAGGCTGATGGCAGTGTCTGGCATATAGTTTTCACTGAATGAATGAGAAGGGAAAGCAAGCTACGCACCTGGCGCTCTTCATGTTTGCCGTGCACCTCAATCACGTCTCCCAACACCTTGACCTTCAGTTCCTCTGGAGAGAAGTGCTTCACATCCAGGTTGACAGAGAATCTATCCTTCTCCAGACGCATCTAGAAATGGCAAGGGGGAGAAAAGATGGTAGGAATGTGGATCACACTAGTACAGTCTCATCATTCTGCAGACTTTATCCTCCTTTTTTTTTTTTTACTAAAAAAATCCCATTTTGAATAAACATGGCTCTCTGGTTCAGGGGAGTCACCACAGTGATACCCAAGGCATAGCACATGGGCATCAGATCCTAACTTTATTTACAGGGACAGGAAAGAAGACAGGCCACCCAGGCCAATCAAAAGGATGGGTCTGGGCAAGGTTTCTGCTGCCTCTCTGACCCTGATGCCCGGCCTTGTCATTTGTCCATGAGACAAAGGCCCCTTCTTCTTGCTCAGACCTGTGCCAAGTTTCCCACCCACTCAATCTGGAATGTTCTCCTAGCCCTGATTGTCCTTCCAAAGCCCTTGCTCACTCAGCTCCTGTTTACTCATACTTGAATATTTTTAAACCAGTGTATTATCTGTGACAGCTCTGTTAATCTTATCTGTTCACCCCATTCTCCCACCTTCTTAGGACAAGTGAGGAGGGGCCTCAAGAATTGGCCTATATTCTTTTCTCCTTAGGTATGGGCCCAGGTCAGTGCCCTGTCACAGCCCTGAGAAACCTGGGAAATCACAGACAAAGTAATTGAAAGGAAGAAAATAGTGGTTGCTGTCTCCAGCTCCATGCAGTGGAGATGAAAAACTCAGCATGAGGCAGGACTGTTTTCCTGATCTGAAACTTGAAGTAATAAAATTTATCAGGAGTATGAGGGATTAGAAGAGGTGAGCAAAGGAGTCTGAAGGCAGATCTTTCCCTGGATCTTTATGAATCAAACCAGAAAGGGGCATCCTACTTAGAAGTTAGGGGATAGAGGGTGATTTTCACAGCACATGGAAAAAAATGTAGTAAAGTAGGATACAGAAGAGCATCCGATACAAACAGACAACTGGGTGAAAGAACCAGTAACCCAGTCTTTCTTCCCTGGTGGACACACAAGTGCCTAAAACACTTAGATGTAGCCAGATGTAGGCAAGGAGAAAAAGGAGAGCAGGTGGATAGGTTTCCAGGAGGTTCCAGGAAGAACTCTCCTGTCCTGGCAGAGGGAAACTTACCTCTGAGAGCCCAGTGTCAATCCAGCTGGGTGCCCGCAGGAATGAGGGTGGCCGGAGGTAGAAGGGGCTCAGGGAAGTAGAAGTTGGGAAGAGATCAGACTCCAACAGGTGCTCCCCGAAGAACTGGTCAAAGAGGCGGCTGGGGGAGTGGAAAGGAAAGAAGGGCCGGCGGATCCAGGGGTGGTGGATGGCGATGTCCATGGTGGCTAGGTGAGTGGAGGGGGTCAGCTGGCTGGTCAGCTCCTTCAGCCGCAGCAACAGCCAGCCCCTTATATACGCAGTCTTGTGAAGCTTCTGGAATGGTGATGTCAGGAGTTTTATTATCCCAGCTCACCGCCCGTTCATGGAGACTTGTGATCGGGGATTTGGCAGTGTGACACATACCCAGTACTCACTGAGCTAAGAAAAGAGAAATACAAACACGTCTGAGCTGGCCAGTGACTTCTGCTGGTCTTGTTTCACTAGCTTTCCGTCCACGCCCAATGCCCCCCCCCCCCCC